GGGCAGGAGGAGATGAGGACGACAGAGGATGAGATGGCTGGCTGACTCATCACCAACATGAGTTTGAGCAAGCTCCGGGAGTTGGTGATGGACAGGGAAGCCTGGCTTGCTGCAGTCCATGGGGTCGCAAACAGTCAGTCACAACTGAGGGACTGAACTGAACTGAGTATCATGTTGCAGACTGTAATAATTGACAAGGCAGACAGAAGTTGTGAAAGCCTTGGACTTCTCTGGTGGTTCAGTGGATAAGAATCCACCTGCCAGTGCACGGTTCGATCGCTGGTCCAGCAAGATTCTACATACTGTGAAGCCACTAAGCCCATGAGCCACAACTCCTGAAGTCTGCATGCTTTAGGGCCCGCAAACCACAACTCCTGAAGCCTGCACGGCTTAGGGCCCATGAGCCATAACTCCTGAAGCCTGCATGCTTTCGGGCCCATGAGCCACAACTCCTGAAGCCTGCATGCTTTCAGGCCCGTGAGCCACAACTCCTGAAGCCTGCATGCTTTCGGGCCCGTGAGCCACAACTCCTGAAGCCTGCATGGCTTAGGGCCCGCAAGCCACAACTCCTGAAGCCTGCATGCTTTCGGGCCCGCGAGCCACAACTCCTGAAGCCTGCACAGCTTAGGGCCCATGAGCCACAACTCCTGAAGCCCACGCCTGGTGCCCTAGAGCCAGCAAGTCACAACTACTGAGCCCGTGTGTCTAGAGCCTGTGCTCTGCGATGAGAAGCCACAATGAGAAGCCCACAGAGCACAACTAGAGAGAAGTGCCCACTCGCTATAACAGGAGAGAAAGCCCGCACATAGCAACGAAGACCCAGCACAACCACAAAAAAAAAAGGCTGTGATGGCCAACCTTGACCAGAATTCTTCACAGGCACTCTGTGGGCCTTCCACACAAACAACACCAGGTTTCCCAGGCATGCTAAACCCAGAGAGGGAAAGCTCCTTTGCCCACTCGAGAATATTCTTTCTTTTGTATTTGTTGTAGATGTGATGGCTGTAGATCCAGAGCCTTGTGAGAACGCGGTCGCCCGGCTGGACTGTACTTCCCGGAGCAGGGGACGGGGTGACGTCTTTGCTGATGTAGCCAGAAGCATGTTCTCGAACCCACTCTGTGGCATTCAGTATACAGACATCTCCGAGACAGTTCTTTTGTAGGTATGCGGTCAGATCCGTGTTCAGCTGAGCCTGCTCGGATCTACTTAATAATTCTGACCTAATGGAAAAGATATGGGGTTAAATATTAAATGAATTTTCTCAGAACAAACTTGAGAACTGCTTTTGTTCTCAGGTTAGTTTTGACCTCTAAAGTTGGCCAGGGTCTGTAACATACCTGACAGTAATTTCAGGCAGAACTGCAGGGTATTTAAAAGGAAGAATACAGGCCAGAGAAAACATCACCTGATTTAAAAAAAGAGAGAGAAAAATTGCCCTAAGTGCTGTTTTAAGTTGAGACATATTTCAATGCTTCCAGAAGTAAAACTGAATTACCATTGCTTCCTCAGATACGTCCAGGTTCATACTGATTGTAAAGTAAACTTTTGAAGATCGTCCTTCCATGGTCCTCTTTTCAACACACTCTTTCAGTTCTGCCAAAGCCAGCTGGTCATTCACAATGAGCTCGTTCTCACCGGGGAACATACTGGCCAGCAGGTCTAACTCAGAGAGTTGGGCCTCTGCCTGTTCAATCTCAGTCATTTCGGGGTACCTGTAAGTTTCTAAGAAGGTAAGGATAAGAGAGACATTTATAAATACAATCTTGGGAGAACTCAACATGGGTACATATTGAATATGGGTACTTACTGAAAATTTGATTTAATAAAATATAACATTTAATCAGAATACCTTCTGTGTTACTTTCAGATGTAATATACTAAGGATCCAAAGGGGTATCCCTGGTGGCTCGGTTGGTAAAGAATCTGCCTGCAAGGTGGGAGACCCAGATTTGATCCTTGGGTCAGGAAGATCCCCTGGAGAAAGGAATAGCAATCTACTCCAGAATTCTTGCCTGGGAAATCCCATGGATAGAGGAGCCTGGTGGGCTACAGTCCACGAGGTGGCAAAAAGTTGGACACAATTCAGCGACTAAACCACCACCACGGATCCAAACTACAGGACAACCCAATGACAGTGATAAAACTCTAAAAAAAAACCAGGCATCAAATTCCTTTGTACGCAGATAGTTGATGTGGCATCTCAAGATACCATAATGAGCAATTACATGGAAGTAAACTAACTGTGTAGTCAAAAAGTTATCAATGATATAACCAGGAGCGAGGCTCTGATTGGTTATCTTGGAAACTCAGAATGAAAAGAATAAGGAAGAAAATTAGATGTGTGGCCATTTTTTTCTCTTAAAATTCATTAGTTTTTAAAAAATAGAAGAATGTGAAAAACAGAAAGTAAAGGCTAATTATCCCATAGCTCGAGGAATGCATGTCAGCAACAGCAAAAAAGCAAAAGATTGTAAAATTCAATGATGGACAAAGGTTAAAAAGTGAAGACACAGTTTGCTACTGGTGATAGCTTCCCCTAGCTAAGTCCCTCATCCAAGGCAGAGATTTTGGTGTTTCAGAAACATTTTAGGCATTACACCTATACATATAGGGAAAACACACGGTGATACAATGTGTAAATAAATGTAGAGAATGAAATATATAATTAAAATGTATTCTCAAGGGGTCATATTTACAAACCTTTTGTCCTTACTGCCTAACTCCCCACCAAATATATTTTGGACATCTATTCACTGTCAGATTGATCTATCTCATTCTTTCTGGTGGTTGACTATCATAGTGAATCAGATAGATATGTCATAATTTATTGCATTCCTTATCTACTGATGGGCACTTGGGTTTTTTCCACATTTTTGCTATTATGAACACTTCTATAATGGAACTTTATATATACGCATACACACACACAAAAACACAGAGTTTGGTGAGCTGTGAATAATATACATACAAGAATAAGTTTGCAGAGGTGGCTGATTAGGATAGCATTAAAAAGTTTGGATACTGTCAAGTTGCCTTCCAGAAAGTTCCTACATGGAAGTTTAAAATTTTCACACAGTCCCCGGCTTTAAAAAAATTTTTGGCACACAGAGTCTTTATATGGTGTTCTGTGAGCCATTCATTAGTTTTTATTTTTAAGGAGGCAGACTTACCAGCCTTTTCTTTTACAGCTCCTGGACTTTGAATCTTTGTTGGAAAAGATTCTTCCCCACTCCAAGGTCATAAAGATTACAAGATGCTAATCAAATTGGATTTTAAAACATTTCTTAGAATTTGATAACTTGATTTTCATTTGCAAGAAAGTGTGGGGCCATCTAATAAAACATGGAGGCTGAGCACATGTATTAATTTCTCTTTCTCTCTTTTCCCTCCACTAAAGTTAGAGAACAGGAATAGATTGTTAAAGATAAAGGGACAGGAAATGACAGATAAAAGCTGTCAACAAAATACGGGAAGGTGGAGTGGGGTCAATGAGTCACAGCTAACTCAGATTTCAGCTTTCTTCCCTTTATTAACTGCTTGGTCAGGTGGGGAAGGGAACTGCAGAACTGCAGAAGGGCTCAGAACTGTCAACACCACCTACTTTGGAAAGCTGCTGTGTGTATGCCGTAGAAAACACGAATTTGTTGAAACTCTAGAGTCTAGAGTCTAGCCTTTAGACTCTCTTTCAGGGTTTCTTAATATTAGCACTACATATCTGATGGCAGAATCACAAGTTATAAGACTGTTGTTCTAAATGTATGTAGAAGAAAAATTTAAGATTATTATATCATTGAATTAAAAGTGACATAAAGTTTCTGTATTTTACTGACACCGGTAAAATCTGACATCAGCAGACTATAATGGGTTGCTGCTTCTTCAGTGTCAAGCTGGGATATTTGAGGCAAAAAAAAATCCCCAAAGGAGTGATCATCATGTCCTTCCTTGGATCCCGAGGTCCTTTACTGATCTGTCACCCCCTCTCCACCTTTCAGAATATATATATATATATATATATATATATCATGATTCTTTTGGGGAAGAATAGGAAAAATGTCCTGAAAAGTGGAAGTCCGTCTAACACAATATTTTTAATTTACCAAGTTGGCATTAAAAAAAAAAGAAAAAGGGGGAAAGCTTGTTATAAGGAAAGCTGATCTAAAAATTCCAATCTTATGAAGCTGACCTAAAGAAAAACCAACACATAAAAATATGTTTCTAACGAAGGTCACTGTTAATAAAAAGTTCAGAAATGGCTTAACTGTTCAGCAACAGAACAGTAGTTAAGTAAATACATAGGCATACCTTGGAGATACTGCAGGTTTAATTCTAGACCACCACAACAAAGTCAGTATCACAATAACGTGAATGACACAAATATTTTGATTTCCCAGTGCATATAAAAGTTATGTTTATACTACACTGTAATGTTAAGTATGCAGTAGAATTATGTAAAAAAAACAACGTACATACCTTAATGATAATCTTTTTGTAATAATGACATCAAAGATCACTGGTCAGAGATCACTATAACAAATATAATAATAATGAAAAGTTTGAAATATTGTGAGAATTACCAAAATGTGACAGACACAAAGTGAGCAAATGCTGTTGGAAAAATACCAAGAGATGTGCTCAAGAGTTGCAACAAACCTTCAATTTGTAAAAAACAAAAAAACACAGTATCTTCAAAGTGCAATAAAATGAGATATGCCTGTACACCCTGTACACCCAAACAGTAGAATATTATGAAATAACTTAAAAAATGGATATTGACATTGATGTTCATGATGTATGGTTACCTGAAATAGTAGATTGTAAAAATAAAAAAAAAAAATGAAAACAGTAGACTGTAGAACAATATAAATAATCTTAATCAATAAATAATACTACTATTCCTTCTTATACCATCACACGTACATGAAAAAAAAATCACAAAGAGAATTCACAAAGCTATTAACAGTTGGCTAATGTGGGTTGACAGGATTTTCACCTTTTAATTTGTATGCTTCTGTATTGCTTGAAGTTCATGATTAGCATGTAGTACCTCTAAATTCACTAGAAAGGAATAAGAGTTATGCTTGTGAATGGAAAACTGAATCCCACTGATGCAAAGGAAACATGGCTTACCTTCTCAATGAGAATTCACTCTGGGGAATCAAACAGCATTATTTCAGTTGGTGGTGTCTTCATGGACTTCCTTTTCATCTGTGGTAAAGGTTGACTGGGCAGCAATTATCTGTAGAGCTTCATCCTTCATTGCCTCCTGAAACTATTTAGTTTGAAGACCAGGACTTATGTCTAATAAAATATAGAACAGTGAAGGTAAAAAGGCCAAGTGTCAAGTGACCAGTATTATCACAAGGATTATAATGAGGGCATGATCAATAAAATGGGTCATCAAAAAAAGATTTGAGGAAGGTGGCAGGATTTGAGTTGAGCCTTAAAGAAAGGGGAAGACTTAGACAAGGGAGGAGGAGGCATAATGTGGCGAAGGAAAAAAGGTGCAGGGCAAGAAAGCCCACGAAAAACAGCACGGACCTAAAGCTGTCCCTTCCTTCTTCACAAGTCCAGCTGCCCAGCTGGAGTCAGGGACTCATCGTTTGGAATATTTCTCCTTATGCTACTTACTGTTTGTCCTCTAAACCCATTCTTGGTCCTTTACCCTTCCTTGGACTCTGGACAGCTGACCTCCACAGCCTATAGCACCCAAGTCTTCTGCATTTCTTGTGGTTGGCCAATGCTCTGGCTGGAAGTGGGGGGATGGGAGGAGAAAGAGGCCAGGGTATTTCTTCATTATTCTTTCCCTGCTTTGGTGGGATTCTGACAATCACCTATGACCAAGCTCCTGCAGGCAGCCCTTCACTTCTTTAGCGCCAGTAGACCTTTCAGCCTAGAGAAGGTCATGGTTCCTTTAAATCTGGCCACACCTTGGGACTCCCCTGTGGTCTAGTGGTTAAGACTCTGTTTCCACTGCAGGGGGTGTGCATTGATCCCTGGTCAGGGAACTAAGATCCCCTCGTACCATGTGGTATGGCCAAAAGATATACATATATGTGTGTGTGGGCTTGGTCGCTCAGTCATGTCTGACTCTCTGTGACCCCATGGACTGTGGCCCACCAGGCTCCTCTGTCCATGGAATTTTCCATGCAAGAATAGTGGAGTGTGTTGCCATTCTCTTCTCCAGGGGATGTAGTATACACACACATATATCTTCAGCATATATATATATATATACACCTTCAGAAATATTTAAAACTCCTGGATTATTAGAATTCCTTATCTTTTCCAGTCCTGTTGGAGTTGGGGAACTAGGAAACAACTCGTTAAGACGGTTATGAGAAGAGGTGAGTTTACTTTGGTTTTTATCATAGTGGTTTAAGTATACTCTGTTGCCAGGCTGCCAAGCTGCAACTCCCAGCTCTGCCACTTACTAACTGTGTGACTGGAGGCAGGTGGCTTAATTTTCTGTGCCTCACTCTTCCCATCTCCAGAATGGGAATGACAGGGCTGCTGTAAGTTATTAAATGAGGATGTGTGGGAAGTGCTTAAAATGATGCCTGGCAACAGAGTAAATGCCATAAAGAGCTTGCTATTTTTATATTCAATCAACAAATATTTCTTGAGAACCTATTGTATGTCAAGCACTAAGACTGCAATGATGGACTAAAGTAACCAAAACAAAAAAAATCTGTGCTGTCAGAGATTTAACCTAGTGGGAGCAGACTATGATAACAGCACACACACACACACACACACACACACACACACACACACACACACAAAACACCATGCCCTCTTCCTGGGGATCTTCCCGACCCAGGGATTGAACACATGTCTCCTGCCACTCCTCCCCCGCCCCACCCATATATATCCAGTGAATAACTGTTATGAAGAAGATAAAGAAGATAAAGTGTTAATTCCTTGCACTCTTGTCTTAATTTTCTATGTTATGCAATAAATTACCATATAAATTTTTACCTTAAAAACACACACACACACACAAAACACCATGCCCTCTTCCTGGGGATCTTCCCAACCCAGGGATTGAACACATGTCTCCTGCCACTCCTCCCCCGCCCCACCCATATATATCCAGTGAATAACTGTTATGAAGAAGATAAAGAAGATAAGGTGCAAGTTGCTGGGGGTGGTTCAATTATACACAGGCTGGTCAGGGACAGCCTTTTTGCTAAGGTGACTGCGGGGGGGGGGGAACGAGACTTGAAGGCACGGAAGAAGAAAGCCATGTGTTGAAATGGGGAAAAAGTCTTCCGAGCAAAAGGAACACCATGTCCACAGTCCAGGAAGCAGGGTGATGCTACACCAGGTGCCTGCAGCAGAGTGAGCCCGGGGCAGGGTTTTAGGACAAAAGGTTGGAGACGAAATCAGGGGCAGTCATGTTGGGACTCATAGAGAATGGCCAGGATTTAGCATTTTTAAAAATACATGTTTATTATTTATTCAGCTGTGCCAGTTCTTAGTTGCAGCCCTGGGGATCTTGCCACATCGACCACCAAGGAAGTCCCAGGATTTGGGGTTTTATCCTGACTGATATGGAAGGCCACTGTAGGGGTCTGACTTATGAAAAGGCTCACACTCACTGCTGGGAAGAAGGATGGAAGCAGAGTTAGCAGGTAGGCACTACAATGATAGAGATGATGGTGGCTTGGATTAGGGTATGGTACTGGAGGTGGTGAGCAACTGTTCATGTTCTAGACATGTATTAAGAGTAGACCCAACAGGATCATTGATGAATTACATGTGATATGTAAGAATAACTCCGAGGCTTCGAGAAAACTGGAAGAATGGACCTGCCATTTACTTGGATGGGAAAGATGGTGGAAATCTGAAGCTTGGTCTTAGACAGACTAGGTAATGAAATGCCTATTAAGCCACCCAGTAAGTAGAGACGTCCAGCAGGCAGCTAGATGAACAACTACGGCGTTTATGAGATCTGGCTGAAAATGTAATTGAGGGAGTATTGAGCATTTCTCCAAAAGCACGTTTGTTTAGCCAGTCGGGGAGTGAGTTAACTCGGGAATAGGCCTCATTGAGTTTGGAGGTCTGGGTCTCAGTGACGCATGGGTGGACAGCTACCAGAGTGATGTCACAAATAAGTGATTTGTCCAGTTATTTTCGCAGACGAGGTTTCAGTCCCAGAAACACCTTGAACAGGAATTTCTGACTCAAGGTTTTAGTAAATATCACCAAAGAACGCAGAATGACACGAGCTTCCTTTCTTTTTCCCTTGCAGTTTTTTTTTCTTTTTATTGACTATTATTTTTTTTAAGGACTTGGCTGTTCAAGCCCTAACTTAATCAGAAAGTTTCCCCTGGCCCTTACCCTAACGACAGACCAAGTTCAGGACGTGTGTGCTGTGCGTGTGTTTCGGTGGGGCGGGGGGGCGTGGGCGCTGTGGAGAGGAGACGAGGGTGGGCGGGGCCAGGAAACGCGACGCTAGTTCTAACCAATGAGCGGTGAGAAGTTAGTGGGAAGGCGGGGCCACCAGGTCGCCGAGTTACCGAGCGGTGGCAGGGGCCGCCGCAGCGTAGGAACTCCCGGTCCGCCGGCGCCACCGGTGGACAGAAGACTCACCTCGAGCCATGGGCCCACTCAGTGCTGTAATCCCGCGTTTCCTGGCTGCACAAACGGTTCAATTCGTATTCGGAGACACCCTCAAAGATCCCAGGGCCAGCAAACCGGAAGCCGACAAACAGCTTTGGTCCGGCCGCCTGAGGAGAGTGAGACCCCGCCCTCCCGGACGGACGCGTGCGCGTTCTCAAGCCCGCGCGCCCCGGAAGTCGGAGCTGAGAAAACCGAGATCCCTGGGCCCGGCTTCGTTTCTGTCAGCCGGAGAGTTTTTGTTCCCTATTCGCGTTTCCCAGCTGCTGGCACTGTCAGTGAGAAGCAGGGCAGGCAAGTTTCCTGGGTCAGGATATGGTCCATTGAAGTAACGCTCCTCAAATTCGAACTTGCGGCGGAGTCCTTCGGGGATCTTGGTATAACGCAGATGGGATTGGGCAGGTAGCCTTGGAGTCCCACGTTTTGCATTCCTAAGATCTTCCCAGGTAGTAGCGGTCCTGCTGGCCCCCGAACGACGCTGAGTAGGCAGTAGGGACAGGTGAGCCTGATAGTGGCCGTGGCGATCCTAGGAAGGACCCTGTGCCAACACAGAAATTTATCTCCGCTAATCAAGGACAGTTTTAAGCTGACTCCCCAACACGAGAGTAATTAAAAGATATTTTTCTTAACCAACTAGATATACTCAATGTACCTTTTCCTCTATTGTACATATTCATTGCAGAAATCTCATAAGATTTATCGCCTAGATATTGGGTCTTCCCTGGTGACTCAAATGGCAAAGAATTTGCCTGCAATGCGGGAGACTTGAGTTTGATCCCTGGGTTGGGAAGATCCCCTGGAGGAGGGCTTGGCAACCAGCTTCAGTATTCTTGCCTGGAGAATCTACACAGACAGAGATACTTGGCGGGCTACAGTCCATAAGGTCTCAGAGTCGGACACGACTGAGCGACTAAGCCCAGTACAGCACAAGCTGGTATTGATATTAGGTACTATCATTGCTATTTTTTTTTCCTTTTTACAAAAATAAGATGTGTTTAAAGGTCTTCATAGCTGCATCTTCTACATGGTGAGCATTTTGTGAGCATTTTTCTGTGTCATTAAATAATCTCTCCAACTTTTATGGAACATTTCAAGCATTACAGCAAAGTTGAGAGAATTTCACAGTGACGCAATTCACAAAGAAAGGAAAAGGAGGAAGTTGATTTTGCTCCCCAAAGCAGTTTTGGAATGTCTGAAGACATTTTGAGTTGTCACAACTGGAAGGGTGTGTGCTTTGGGCACCTAATGGGTAGAATCCAGGGATACTGCTCAACTTACCAGGGTGCACCAGGGTATCCCCCCTACAAAAAATTTGCTGGTCTAAAATGCCGGTAGTGCTAAGGTTAAGAAACTGACCTCAACAATGCCTAACTACCTTTGTCATAGACCTAATTCATCCATCCCATCTCTTTTAATGCATTTCAAAGTAAACTGCAGACATTAGTCTATTTCTAAATAATTAAGCATGCATAGCATTAGGATTTCAATTATGTAGTTTTTTTTTAAGTAAAAAGGAAATGTAAATGTATATTTGCTGAGTTTTGACAAATTCATACACCTTGGTAACTCAAATCCCATTGAAATGTAGAACATTACAGCATCCCAGGAAATTCTTTCAGGTTCCTTCCCAGTCAGTCGTCAACCAACCCAACAGGCAACTGTTAGTCTTTTTTTTTTTTCTCCCCACACCATAGTTAAGTTTTGGCCTGTTCTAGAACTTAATAGAGATGGAATTATCCAGTAGGTACTTTTGTGTAAGGCTTCTTTGTGTGTATCCATGTTCTTGTGTGTATTAGTAATCTCTTTTTATTCCTTAGTTGTATCCACTGTGACTATACCTCAGTTCTTCCATTCCTCTTTTGATGGAGACATGGGCCGTTTGCAGTTTTTTGGCTATTATGAGTAAGGCTGCTGTGAATAGTCAAGTACCAGCATTTCTCATGACTGAATTTCTTCAGTAACTATTAAGTATTGTGTTCCAAACACTTCTAGGTTCTAGAGAGATAGCCACGAGATATAGAACAAGACAAAAGATGCCCCCATCTTAGAGAGCTTAGGTCTGCTTGTTTCTGGGTATTTATGGGGGCAGGGGAGAAGGAAATGGCACCCCATTCCAGTATTCTTGCCTGGAAACCCCACAGACAGAGGAGGCTGGCGGGCTACAGTCCATGGGGTGGCAAAGAGTCAATCAAGACTGAGTAATACACACGGAGGTGGGGCAGGGGGTAAATACATAGGTAACTATGAAACAAAAATACCGGATAGTGATAAATGCTGGGTAGAGAAGTAAAATAAGGTGATGTGAGCGATAGGGTAGCCATGTTACTTATGTTTTTTCAGCCAATTTCTTTATGTGAATGACTTTTAAAGTGTGAACAGATCAAAAGTGAATGGCATTCTAGGTGTGGTACAATGGACTTAAGGCCATTTTAGAATAGAAAGGAGGAAAAAAAAAAAAACAAGGCCTATCTGCTAAATGTTAAAACTTAAAAAAATTATATAAGCAGTATAGAGCATGAGAACCATTTACTCCCCCTCCCCCCCCCCCCC